TGTAGGGTCTGCCCTGCTGTCCCTGGATCATACAGGTGGCCTTCCTCTGGACCCTCTCCATGTTGTCCACATCCCTCTTGAAGTGCGGCGCCCAGACCTGGACACAGTACTCCAGCTGCGGCCTGACCAGTGTCACGTAGAGGGGGAGGATCCCCTCCTTGGCCCTACTTGAGATGCCTCTGTGGATGCACGATAGGGTCCGGTTAGCCCTGCCGACCGTGACCTCGCATTGTCGGCCCATGTTCATCTTGGAGTCAATGATGACTCCGAGATCCCTTTCTGCCTCCGTGCTCCCAAGAAGGGAGTTTCCCATCTTATAAGTGTGCTGCTGGTTACTACTGCCCAAGTGCAGCACCCTGCACTTGTCTGTATTGAAACGCATCCTGTTTTTGTTAGCCCACCCCTGCAACCTATCCAGGTCTTGCTGAAGTCTTTCCCTGCCTGCTAACATGCCCACCTCACCCCAAATTTTGGTATCATCAGCAAATCTGAACAGGTTGCTTTTCATCCCAGCCCAGAGCTCGTGAACCAGCTTCACAAACCCCTTCAGGTGAGGACATAGCTCATTGAGCCCAGAGAGCAGGATGCCGACTCCTGCTGGGTTTGGAAATGTGGGGTCAGTAAAAGAGTGGGATAAACCCTGCATGAGTGCCGGGGAAAGGACTGTGGTGCAACAGTATCAGCTTGGGGGAAAGAGATGCAGCAAGGGAGAGTTCCCAAGACACCTGAGTGGGCTGAGACTCGGGGAGGCTTGGCCTGAGGGGAAGCCTCCACGTGCAACTGCCAAAAGGGTGAGTGAGACAAAAGGTGCTGCCGGGCCTGCCTGGGGGTGAGTGCTTTGAAAGAAGGGGAAGAAAACGGAGGGGGCGAGGTGTGAGATAACCACCCAGGAGAAACTGCCCCTGCGGCCAGTTCTGGGTGGGTGGGAGGGTGGGGAGAGTTTCTGCAGGTGGCTCCTGCCCAGCACATGGAGCTCTGGCTCCAGCTCCCAGCCACACTCACACATTCATAGCAGTTTAGTGCTGGAAGGGACCTCGTCAGCTCATCGGGTCCATCCACCCCCTGCGCTGGGCAGGAAAGACTGCTTATCTCAAATAACCTCAGCACGTTGTGTGTTTAGTTGCTTTTTAAAGATCTCCAGGGTAGGTACCCCACCCAGTGTAATGAGCAGCCCCTGTGGGCAGGCGAAGTGCGCAGACGGTGGCCAGGAGCTGGAGCCAGAGCTGGTTGCTCAGCAGAAGCCTTTGGGCTGAGGCTTCCACCCACCGGGAGTGGCGTGGCAGGGTGCAGCGTGGCCGAAGCCTGAGCCCAGCTGGAGGTGTGGGGAGCAGGGGAACATCCCACCAGCTTCAGTCACATCGGGAACTGCCCTGCCAGATGCTGCCGGTAGCTGTGGCTGGGGCTCACGGGAGCGTGGCGGGCTGCCTTCGTGGGAGTGGGGGAGGCTCAGTCCCGTGTGGAGCACTGCCGCGCTGCTGAGGGTCCAACCGCTGCCTGCAGGTCCTGCTTCTTCAGGCTCTTCTGGGGCAACTGCTCCCATCCCGCCCCGCTGGCTCCGCTCTTACCAGCTCCTTCCTTATGGTCCCTTGCTGGTCTCTCCTGAGTCAGCCCTGCTGCCCCTTTTATCCCCCTCCAGCTGACCCAAGGGGCCAACCAGGGGACATGGAGGGTGAGTCTCTGGGGCCTGATTGGTGAGGAAAGGGAATCCCAAGTCCTCCAATCATCTTTTGCCCTTTCAAAACCCCTGGGCTAGGTCACTGCCAGCTAGCCCGTCACAGCTGTAGGACTCTTCATCCGGCACAGGGCTGGGGGCGGAGGTGTGGATCCTGTGGGGGTCTGAGATCCCCAGGGGCCTTCACTTCTTCTTCCTTGCTCTCTTTCCCAGCCAGGTCATTGCCAGCTGCCTGGGGTAGGATCCTGATAGAAGGTGCTGCACGGTCTCCGGCTGCCCAAGCACCAGGGCCTGCAGGCGGGAGACATCCCCCATGCCCAGAGGCCGCGGATGGCAGGCTGCAACAGGTGGGAGTGGCAGGGGAGGGGGGACCCACAGGCACATGCCCACGCATTGCGCCAGCTGGCCTGAGCCCAGCTCCTGCCAGTCTCTGCGGTGGGCTCCCATCACACCCAGCCCAGCACCAGGGGTGTCCTGTTGTACACAGCCTCCGGGAGGCCCTGATACAAGGGGTCAGGCAGGGCCAGGGGGTCACAGCCCCTCTGGGCTAAGCTGAGGTGACAGGCGGGTCTGCTCCCCTATAGACCCACCACAACCAGAACCAGAACAGGGCCCATGACAAGGCTCCTTATCCAGGAACCACCAGGCCTGTCCTCCCCCCCACCCAACTTACCGCTGCTTCTCTCGATGGGGGTCTCCAGGGCGAGGTGTCCCACGCGGCAGATGTACTCTGCCCCCTGGTCCCTGGATGTCCAGCAGGTGAGTCTGGTCTCCTGCTGGAAGCTTTTCCCGTCCCGTGCCAGGACGGCCGTGCCGGGCTCCACCCTGCACTCAGCCGAGTC